CTCTCCATAGTTATCCTGTGGCGCAAGCACAGGGCGACTGTTGCGCGCCCTTAGCGAGCATGCGCGTTTCCTGTCGCTTGTGCGGTGAATTGTGCCGCCTCTGCTGTGTGGAGATGCAGAGGAAACCGTATGTGATGGGGAAACGCAGCTCGACATAACACCGGTATTTCCATCTGGAAAACGCTGTTTTGCTGCTGGATTCCTCCTCACTCTCCATCTCTGTGTGTGCTGTACGTTAACACTCACCAGCAGAAACACCCACCTACCCAACTGACAGACGGAATCTCACTATACATCAGCCAATCTCATCCTCCCCTCTGTCATGACAAGGCACGCACGAGTCCTATCATGAAAAGTTCATTGTGTGACCTGAGTAACACGCAGTAACGGGGTGTCTGCAATGGTTATAGTTACAGTCACAGTAATTAGTTAGATTACTCGTTACTTAAACAAGGTAACGGCATTAGTAACGCTTTCAACGCTGTTGCTCCCATCACTGCTCATTACTCCATGCAGACAGCCCATGATGACAATCAAATAGATTAGAAAAAGAATCCTAAAGGAATGAATCACAATAATCTAAAATTAAAATAACTCCAATTGAGGAAAAAGTTAAAACTATTAGGTGGGGTAATAAGTGGTTTATTCAAAAAGTCTGTTAATGACTGGTGATAATCGCATTGATTTATGTTTCCTTACAGAAACTTGGCTCACATAATCAAGAGGATTATGTGAGCATAAATGAGGAAACTCCCTTTAGTTATTTTAATTCTCACATACCCAGAAATTCTTTGCGAGGACGACGAGTATTAGTTATTATTATTATTATTTTTATTAATGTGACTGCACTGCTTGGGCGGCTAATGTTTCGCCTCTAATACGGGAGATCCGGGGTTCGAACCCTGGAGCTGGCAACTCTTTAAGGGGAGGGGGGGCCTAGTGGTTAGGGCGTAGAGCTAGGAATCCAGAGGTCCTGAGTTTGATTCCCACTCCCACAGACTGTCACTCTGGGTCCCTGATCAAGACCCTCAACCCCACACTGCTCCCTGGGCACCGCACAATGGCAGCCCACTGCTCCCCAAGGGGATGGGTTAAATGCAGAGAGTGAATTTCTCCAATGTGAGATCAATAAAGTTCAATGAATGATTATGATTGACTAGCAACAATCTTTTAGTCTGGCTTACGGATAACTCCAAAGGCAGTTAATTGTTACAACTCTTTTGAACATTTAACTCTTAGTTTCCCTTATGCAAAGTGCGAAGCCAGAAAACCTCGTTTTTTTGTAACTTTGTATCGTCAACCAGGTCCTTACTCTGAATTTTTAAATGAGTTTTCAGAGTTCCTGTCTGATTTGGTGTGGAATACTGACAGGGTCACCATAGTTGGGGATTTTAACATAAATGCTGACATTGAAGGTGATGGCTCGAGTACAGCTTTCAATGCTATCTTATATGCTATTGGCTTTGTTTGAAATGTGGATAGTCCCACACATTCTCATCTTCATACTCAGTAGCTTATGCTGACATATGGCCTTGAATGTGGAGAACTAACAGTATTTCCTCAAAACCCTGTCCTCTCTGACCACTTTTTAAAAACCTTCAAACTTACTTTAACTAAGTTCTCCTTGCCCAAAAGAAGGTTTCACTTTAGCAGATCATAATTATATATTATTAGATAATGCATTTATACATTTTAAAGAATATGTTCAGGTTTTTCTCTGTCGTGTAGCATTGCTGCAAGTGCAAAAAACTGATCCAAAATACTGCAGCCAGAGTTCTTACAAAAGTTAAAAAGAGAGTTCATATCTCTCCTATGCTAGCTTCTCTTCTCTTCATTCCTGTTAAATCCATAATAGAATCAAATTAAAGTCCCTCTCACATGGGACCAAGCTCCATCTTATATCAGAGATCTGATCATTCCTTATGTCCCTAAAAGAACACTTCACTCTCAATCTGCAGTTTTCCTAGTGGTTTCTAGAATTTGTAAAAGTAGAATGGGAGGCAGCTCTTTTAGTTATCAGGCTCATCTCTTGTGGAACAGGGTGTCTATGAGGCAGACACCCTGTCTACTTTTTTTTTTTTTTTAACTTTATCGAAGATCGATTTAATACCAAAATTCTGTGTATTTAATTAATTGAAATTAATGTGTTAAAGTCCTAATCCTATTTTCTTTTTTTCATTAATCTGACAAGGATGCAGTTGAAGTTGAAACACTGCAGCTGGCTGATATACCAATACCTGGTGAAGGAATCCAACTGGACCCTCTGGATGTATGGCTCTTTCTCTTGCTCTACATGTCACAATTTTTATTTTCGTAGATGAGCACATCCTTAATGGGAAATCTGAATATATATTCATGCAGGATGAAGATGGCCTTCTCTCTTGGTGGAAAACAGTTGAAGGTATAGCTTTGATTTTTCAGTAGGCTGTCCATTTCTGCTAAAATGTAACGTGGGGAAAACTGTTGTTTATTAATTTTTTCTCTTTTCAAGGATGGGACGAGTGGAGTGAGGGAAACCAGAACGATGATGCGGAAGAGTACGTAAAATCAAATGAGGATGTTAAACTTCAAACTCACCTGGAAAAAACTTGACACTTCTCCATGAACTGTTACTTTAAATCTACATGTAATTTTCAGTGATATCTAATGGTCAGATTGCAGACTGCAAAATGCACTCAAAATAACTTTGCGGGCGTCGCTTTACCTACATTAGATTGCAGCATCAACCTTTTAAGAAAGCTGTTTAATTTAGCCCTAGAAAGACCATTCGGTATCTGTTCTTCAGCACTTCATCTTCACTTCTTCATCCCGCTCGACCGCTTACTTCCGCCACAGGCTCTCCATGTCCAGCTGTTGCCTCTATGTACTAGCTTTGGCCTGCCGTCTCTTCCTGCTCTGTCAGATGTTCAGCCGTTCTTCTTGTATATTGGTCTATGTATAACTTGCCGCAGTCCCATCCAAGCATAATGGTGATCTCAATCCAAACAAATTTTATATAGAATCTATATATATGTTATTTATTACCAACTATGAAATAATAGTGTCAATTTTGATGTCAGTAAATTCCTGTAATTATTACCTACTTTATCTTTAAAAGTACCCACTGCATTTTTTTTCTAGTATTTTATTTGCTTTCTTTTTTATCCAAGCTCTTGCAGATCAAAGTCATTCAAAATGCAGTGTCCCTATCAGCGTGTCATAAAGTTGAGACCAATATCCAGAATAAACCCAGTAGCTTTAATTTGTATTAGAGCAATGCTCTACTCCTCACCATTAACGGATGTTGCATTCTCTTGTCGTCTTAACTGGAACAAATTTTTGTCACCGCTGGAGTTTCTGTAGGACTATTTCCATATACTCCTGTAACAGTGAGCTATGACATGCCCAAGAAATCTTGCTGTGTAAAATGCATCTAATGAAACTTAATATGTTCTGTCAATCATTTCTAAGGGTATTTGGCTTTACACATAAATCTCTGTATTGCTCATTCTGCTGTTTTTCTGCATCTCACTCCCATTATTGCTAAGCCCGGGTGTTGACGTTGCCACCCATTGGTCTTTTGGGGGGATAGTGTGGAGTGGCGGCCTAGTGGTTAGGGCATTACGTTTGGAATCCAGAGGTTCTGAGTTCAAGCCCCACTCCCTCAGACTGCCACTCTGTGTCTGTGAGCAAATATCCTTAACTACACATTGCTACCCGGGCACCGCACAATGGCAGCCCACTGCTCCCCCAGGGGATGGGTTAAATGCAAAGAGTTAATTTCGTTGCTCTGTACTTGTGACAGTGTAATGACAATAAAAAAACTGGAAAAATAAAAATGTTTATTTGCAGCTCCAGGCAGTAATTCCAGATCAGTAAAAATCCTGACCTTTTGCACAGACCATTTATGCAGAAAGGGACTTTTAAGTTTCTGTTAGGTCCTCACTGATTCATATCTTGACATCTTAGGTGTTGTGCAAAAAGTCTTCAATTAACAAAACTTTTCATTTTCACTTCAATTCCTTAGTAATTAAGACTTAATGATTTCAACGGACTTTTAGATTATTTAATTGTTTCACTTCGAGAACAAGTTGATCTGCTGGTATGCATTTAACACCTGGCTTCGAACGTCATCAAACTTTTTAGTGTTTATTGACAATTAAATGAAGAATGCAGCACAAGCCACATTGTTCAGACGGGAAGCATCAGCAGCCAACAGTCTTCTTGTTACTGTAAAAGACATTTGAAAACTGAAAAGAAAGCTTTTTGTTATTGAAAGATGTTGACATCATTTCATGCTTAATTGCATACTTTGTCCATGTAAATTTGCAGACTTTTGTGGTTTTGTAAAAACCCTGTCACATAACATGCGGGCTCACTGCTTCCTGGTTGTAGGATAATGTTGAGGAGTTGAGTGTTGCTTTACTACACAGTAAAGATACTGGGTTTTATTCTGGGTATTGGTCTCAACTTTATGACACCTTGTATTTTGATTGACTTTAATCTGCAAGAGCATAGTACAAAAAAGAAGGCAATCCAGAAAGTACTAGAAAAATCTATAGTAGGTACTTTTTAAAGATACAGTGTGTTATAATTACAGGAATTTACTGACATAAATGGTACACACACATATATACGCTCACCGGCCACTTTATTAGGTACCCTATGCTAGTAACGGGTTGGACCCGCTTTTGCCTTCAGAACTGCCTCAATTCTTCGTGGCATAGATTCAACAAGGTGCTGGAAGCATTCCTCAGGGAGTTTGGTCCATATTGACATGATGTCATCACACAGTTGCCGCA